CTCAACAGTGAAGCTGCCTACCACCAAATCATCTCTAAACTTTGGAAGGCATTATATTCCGTTGATGGCTAGTTGCATGTTGACAGTGCACGCGTGGGAATCAGACTATTTTTAAACTTGGTAGAGGTGGTATCGACCAGGGTTCCAATGTTAACCAAATTCTATAACTTAGATATTCTTTCAATAGAATCACAATACCTATTGTTAATATAAAAGCAGTCTTTCACTCAGTCGACCGCACTGTACGCTGCAGCTGCCTCTCGTTGAAAGATGTATCAGAGAACATTATTTTAGTATTACCATCCCTTTATACCAATAGCCGAAGCCTAGCTCGAGCTCATCTTCACCCCAGCTCACCTCGTAAAGTGATGTTCGTTAGGGTTACCCTCTCTCCTCTTCTATTAGACTTTGCAATCGATATGACTGTGGAAACAGTTCTGTCCTCCCTTGGGGACAGCGGCATCGGTGGTAAGAAATCTGATACGGAGTATGTGGACTGCAAAGCTTCACTGGATGGTTTGAGTGAAGACATAGCATTTCGCACCTTTAAAATGCAAAATATTGCCGTAGAACTGGCTTAGATCAGCTCCAAACCTCCCTCTAGCTGGAAAAGCAGTAAAGAAGTTAGCAAACTTTGTTAATTAGGTAGTCTCATCCAAAGGACGGATCATGGATGAATTGTCGGCACGCATACAAAAGGCTCGGATGGAGTCTGACTAGCTGAACCATTTCTGACACCGCCGCGACGTTTGTTTGTCCGTGAAGGGTCGAGTATGGGATGCAGCAGTTCGATTGAAGCCGCTGCATGATGCGGATACTTGCCCGTTACGGGGACAGAATAAAGATAGACTGTCGGTATTAAAAAAACCTCTGTCTTCTCTGCACTTCTCAAGTCTATTAGAGTAACTGGACAATTAACAGCGAGAAAAGTTTTAGGTGTTCGTGGGAGCGCACTGGAGCAAGTGATCGACCCACGTAGATTACTTTGGCTTTACACAAGCCACAAAATAAATTACCTTAGTGTACGATATTCACCGAGACAGGTAGTAGTTGAAATGAGGTTATTGTTAATCAAGCTAAGACCTGATTTGAGGGCATGAAAACTCTGACCAGGTGACTTGGATATGTAGGCCATGTTTGACTCCCTGGATAAGGAACTCGGGATCAGCTAAATCCATGATTAGAGGAACGCGGTGATGTGGGTGAGTGTCATAAACAATTGCGCTCGTGCATCTACTCAATTTCATTACCTTAGTCGACCTGAATCTTTGCCTGCAACATGATACCATTCTTAGTTTTCTATCATTTACAGCTACTCCTTCGTCCAAAAGGATGGCGACACAGGTATTCAAACTGCAAGGTTAACCGTTGTAAAAACCGAAAACCAGTGATTGTCTAATAGTTACCGGCTTCCGCTCCCATCCGTCATTGACCAAACCGGATTACTTTTTTCTTCTGCCGTGCATCATGGAAAGACAAGCCAAAAGCAACAAGGTGAAAGCTATCGTTAACCAATTACCTGTACCGCTGAAGGGAGCATGGATTCGACGATGGCAACTGATTTTGAATCCGGTTGTGGTAAGGCGTTTTGATTCTGAATTTCAGTGCCGTAATCCAGATGCACCAAATCGTATTTGCCTTGTACTTTCTCGAAGCAGTCGCGGCAGTCCCATTCATTTAGTGTTTTGTCATAAAACCTAAAGATTCAGTAGTCAGTATAATAGATGTGCTCAACTTTTTCTCAAATGAACTTTTAGCAGCATTCAAGTCTGGTCCATAAGATTCCAACTTATTTTGTCCAGTTTTCCCAACGCGACCCCAGCGAAACCACACCGAGTAGTTTTTGCTGTCATCATCTTCCAGAAGCTGCAGCAAATAATATTTGTTATTGTTGTGCTGTAGATTAGTTTGATTCAACATAGCATCATAAACTGTGCCATCCTGTTCATAGTAAACATGCGCTATCCCAACTTTAGCGGTACACAAACTGTCCACTGGTGCACGGCCTTTACAAACAATCTTTTTCACTGCGGCTTAGATAAGCAATAGAAAGAGTGTAACAAACCATCCGCTTTGTTGTCCGTAGAGTCATCTTCCAGTTTTACGTGTTTCGCTGCATCCGAAGTGGACTGACTGTCTTTTAAAGGTCTCTTCATGCTTCCTGAAAGTAAAACAGTTGAGTAGTCAGAACAACACTGTGAGCATTATATGCACCACTGGATGAAAGTGAAGGTTATATAATCATAACTGATTTTGCACAACAGTTACAGGGTACATTTATTCAAATTCTGCGCTTGAATCTATAAAGGATGCGAGAAGGAAAAGCAGAGACTTCAACAATTCAGCGTTTCTTGAAAAAAAATTTGAACGCTTCCCCTATTGACAGGATTATAGAGGCTAAACGTCCGAGATCGGATTTCGCGAGAAAATAAGAACGGAAGAGGAACCAAATCAGCAAGGTCCACGGAGTCAATTCCATGGCTATTAAGTTATAAAGGGGATCGGCAGGTGATCTCACTGCGACGAGAAAGTGACTGAAGACTTAATGCTGAGGATGGATCAACGATAAAGCGAACAGCCCTATGCTGAACACTGTCTAAAAGTGTGAAAGAAGAAAACAACTCAGGAAATGTCCACAATATTCCACTGGCGGGAAGAGCCTTATAAAGAGAAATTAGGTAGAAAATCGTCCTAGACGCATTCGATACAAATTTAACAATACTAGGAGACAAAGGTATGGGAGAGGACAAATGAAGGCCAAATAAAATTGTAGGTACGGATCCAACTGAATACGGGTTGAAGCGCAAGGTGAGAGTACATGAATAACATCCTCGGGATACAGTTCATCCCCATTCATCTTCAACTTTGTCATAGATGATGTTCTAGAGAATGCTTTGTTCGGTTTTGCAAACGGTGGCGTTTTGCAAGTCCGGGTTGAAATCTTGCAGTTGTACCATACGTGTCAAATCGATCACGTTATCGGTAACTACCGCTATGGGCGAGAGAGAGCATCGGCAACATTATTCATACCAGCTACGTATCGAGTCAGTAGTAAATTGCGACACGTAGTCTAAGTGACGTACCTCTCGAGGAGAGTATCTGTCACTAGAAGACTTTAGAGCGTATATGAGCGGCTTATGGTCTGTAAATGACGAAGTCACGACTTTCCAGTGATTGACAAAAGTGACGAACTACTGGGTATGCGGCGAACAGTTCGTGACCGAAAGTGATGCACCTAATGGCTGCGTCCGAAAAACGTTGAGCAGAAACCTAGAGGTTGCCAGGTATTGTCTTTCCACTATTGGGGGACTGCACCAGTCGCGAAGTCTGAAGCATCTACTATCAAACCTAACTTTGCACAAGGATCCTGATGCGCCAGTAAAACAGTATTGGAGATTGCCAACTTAATGGCATCGAAGGCCTGTTATGCTGATGTATCCATGCCGATAACCTTGGGATTTCCCTCAAGAAAACAAATGTTTTGTATTTCCTTATTTCTATTTAGTGAATATACAAATGTACAGTCAACTTTCAGGAAGGGGGCTGCGGCCATACAAAGGCTGCCTGGGGAAAATACGGATACAGGGAGGACGAGCAGATCCGTGAGTGAGTGGACGTATGACCTGGGCGCGTTGTGAACTGAGTCTACGTTAGTAGTTAATTACTCCTGAGAAATGACGGAGTTCGGTCCCTGTCTAGGNTGTTGTAGATTTATTATTGTCCTTTCTGTTGCATAAATTGCTGTTGTTCTGGGAGCCTATTCTAACATTTCGCTTGTCCCGTTTTAGCTCTCATGCCTCATTTTTGGTCGATTGAAGCCTATCATTAAGGCGTTGTCTTCTGGCTTGCCTGCCGACTAAACGTGTGATCTGCTACACTACAAGTTCTCATCAATCATATAATCAACTCCGTTACACCACGAATTGCTGCGATTTTATCCTCGACCGGACGGGATCCCTGACGATCGATACAATGACCGAGTAAAACTGAGGACTCACGACCAATTCGCACTTAGCGGTATTACCGTAATCGTAAAATAGTCCCGTAGACAAAGTAGAAAACGGTATTTGCAAAGAAATTTATTTTCGGCATATCGCATCAGGCGTTTGCATATATAGGGTGATCATAGTACAGATTAAGGCTCAGCAACGATGACAGGCTGAGCACTGTCCTGCGGTTCTCTACAAAGGAACGGTTAGATTTATTCGCAGCTTGGTTCTCGATTATCTCGTCGATAGCGGGCATTTTGTGAACAAGTTGGATGCATTCAAAATTACTCACACTATACCCCGGGGAAATTCCAAGGGGATAAGAAGATGGCTTTTAACCACGGTCAAGGCGATTACAATTCGTATTTTCAATCCAGAGTTATGTGAGCAAAAAAATCTGGTCCAGACACTGTTGCCCTGGCCTGGACAGCGGATTGATAGCGCATAAAACAGTATCAACCGTCCTCCCGAACCCCCTTTCCTCATCCGGTATTATTAACCACAATCTTAAGAACTAATTAGTTTGTTTGTCTCTAGTGTCCCTTCCCGATTGTTTCACTTGCTAGGCATGACATATAGTTTCGACTGTAGCTTACGTAACTCCAACCCGCTCTCTCGTCTTAGCTCACAACTTCCATTTTAATCTGCCCATCTCTCTAATGCTGTCCATTTGACCTTTGTCTTCTCACCCTCACCACGACTATCACTAGCCTTGTCCTATTCGTTTGCTCTGTTTGCACCCCTCTTTTATCGTTACTGACGGAGCTGTAATCGGCCAATCAGACTTATGCACTATGATCACCTTATATATTTAGACGCCTGACGCGATATATCGAAAACAAATTTCGTCGCGTATATCTTTTCTGCATTAACCATAATAGCGTGGTGTTGCGGACGTTGAAAAGTAAGCCTAAGTGCACTTTATGTCCGGCGGCATCCTTGTTTGTGACCAGTATATCATCCAAATAAGGAAGAACGAGATCTAATCCGCGAAGGGCCTCGTCTATGAAACGTTGGAATGTCTGTGCAGTGGTGCGTAATCCGAAATGACCGTTATCACAAGTGGGCCGAGTCTAGGTGTGGGCTGGAACGGTCGACAGACAGGATGTTCTGAGTGGAGAGGGCGACAATCTGAAAGAGAGGAAAACGGAGACACCATGGACCGGAAGGTCTAGTGAGACATGAACACGATTCACTCCAACGGAATGGCAACTGCCAAGGTCCTTACGCTAATTGTAGCGTGACGGCAGAAGACGGTTTGGGCAGTATAATTCAATTGGTAACACACTACAACGTAACAATATAAAAATAATGGCCGAACGGGGATTTACAGTTCGCTTGAGTTACAAGTTTACGGAGTTCTCCTTGTCCGTAATAATATTAACAGCAGAACGGTCTGAAATAGAGATAATGCATTGTGTCACAGTTTGTTGTAGGCACACGTGTTAGCAATAACAAGAATACCATGGCAAGTCAAATGTTGGGTAAGGGCATAACAAAATCAATAGTTATAGGTTCTCGGTGCGATGGTGGTTTCGGTTCCGCCCTACACTGTCCCTTTCTTTTAGGGCTCCGTCCTCGGAGCCACTGCAAGACCGCTCTCTGCCGGTATCTCGACTTCGCATTCCACTGGTGGTGTCTCTACCGGCCTCGTCTGTTCCAGGTCGCTGGTGCAACGTTTTAAGCGATTAACGTGGACCACCATTAATTGCTCTTGGCCGGGTGATAGCCCGCGAATTGCACAGTTCGTTTCGCTGACCAGGCGTTCTATCACTTAAGGCCCTTTCCAGGGACTGTCGAATTTTTTCTTACTGGTTGTAGGTTCTATTAGCTTCAACCAAACCTTGTCACCCGCTGCGAAATGGACGGCGTGTGCCTTTTTATCATAGTAGTCCTTTTGTCGTCTCTGCGCGGTTCTGAGGTTTTTGTGTGCCAGTAACTCACACCTTCGGATTGTCTCCCTTAGCTGCACTACGTATTCCTTTACGTTAAGATACACGTCACCTGTAGATGGTAGCCTTAGATCGGATGGCAACCTCATCT